GTTTTGGGCATTTCAGGAGGCTCATAAGGGCATTTGGGGGCTGTTTTGGGGGTGTCTTGAGCTCATTGTCGGCAGACGCTGTCTTGAGCTCATTGTCGGCAGACGCTGGATGGCTTTGAGGGAGGCAGACGCAGCATGTAGGCTGTTTTCCATCAAGAGGATTCATGGAGCATGTGGAGGGCAGATCATGCGGCCATGTTCATGTTAGCAAGTACCATGCGAGTGAAAACTTGGTGCATGCGAAGCAGCTTCTGCAGCAGTTTTTTGAGTTCCTCGAACGCATTGCTGAACTTGCCTGCATGGTCCGTACTTGTCCTCATCCCAAACCAGTGTCCCACGACCTGTCCATGGTCGAGCTTTCGTCCCAGCCCGTGGCTCTCAAGTCCATCTTGTTAGGCCACACAGAGGTCAAAAGGGTCCGCATGAAAACCCTTGAAGCCTCAGCTCTGAAACCTACACCCTCCAGGGTTTAGGGTTTAGGGTCCACCCTAAACCACCAGGAGTAGACCCTAAGCCGATGTCCATTGCATGTTCCGTTTTAGTTTCCGTTTGATTCTGCACTATTGAGATACCATCTGGTCATGATCTCTATATATAGATGAGATCCTAAGCCCTAAGTCTATAATTTCTAAGTTCTTGTCCAGTATCCCTATATGACCCCAATATATTCCCTATAATCCCTATATAACCCTATGCAGTCCCTGAAGTTTCCATTTTCTTCTCCATTATCCGAATATATACCCCTGCATATTGATATTTTCAATCCCTGGCAGGCCTTGGCCAAAGCGCCGGAAGGGCAGGCAAAGAGCTTGTTGGGTGGGCACCCAAGCAGAAGCAGCCTGCTTTGGGGTGAAGGGGTTTGAGGGCAAGGGGTTACAGGGTCTAGGCTTAGGGCCTTGGGGTTGAGGGTTAGCTGTTGTTGAACAGGCTTTCAGGGTTAAGGTTTAAGGTTTGGTCTTAAATTATTCCTGAACTCAATACAAACTGAACATCAAAGGTACCTAAACCACATCGCAGGATTGTACCGGGTTCCTCTAATCCCTAGGTTCCCCCAAAACAGTCTTAATTCACCCTCATTATCCTGAACTTAGTTTGATTAAGGGGATTTCTTGGGGGAGATAGTATAGGAAGGCCGCAAGATTCAGATTTCAGGACATTTCTTCTGGCTCTGGACTTGATGGCTTAAGGCTCAGGATGAAGGATTGGGGATTAGACTTAGGATGTAGGGCTTAGGGTTTAGCATGTAGGGTTGGGGATGTAAGGTTGAGGATTTAGGGTTCAGGGCTTGGGGTTTAGGGCTTAGCGTTCAGCATCTCAAGTCCAAACAAGTCGGAAGGGGGGCTTGTTCCACGTGTTTGGTATCACCCCACCCTCCCAGAATCCTTCTTGATTTGGGTAGTTCCCAAGATCGGGGCCCCATTTTGGAACCCCTCAATAGTAGGTGCCATATTATAGCCTATAATTAAAAGCAGCCCATAATTTGGAGAACAGCCCATTTAGCAAGTATACCCAGTTTCTTCCTTCAATCGCCACCTGCTCTTGCGTGCCCTAAACTGTTTACCACCGTTTCGCTGACATTGTGGGGTTCAGCTCGTTTTGGCTTCTAATAAGCATCTTTAATATGGTGTGCAGAGTTTGAGCCGCACGTCTAAACGTAATTTGTCCAGGACTTCCGCCGGAGATTTGTTTGTAGACATGTTGAACACGCACGAAACAATTCGGGAAGAAGGTATTTCCGGGCTAGGAGCCAGCAAATGTTCCTATGCTGCCTGCAGCGTAAGATAGTTAATTGCTGGCTTGAGTAGTCATATGGCAATTTCCAAAAATAAGGGTCCCCGCTCCATATCCTAACATACCATGACAGTTTCGAGCCTTACGGAACAAAAGGACGCTCAAAAAGGGACCCCCAACTTTTTGGAAGCCTCTCATGTGGAAATGCCCCCTTCATTGCGTACAAGACTGTTGTTCGATCATCCCAGCACGCGCAACTAGAATTCGGGCCCCCTTTTTGGGTACCTGTATTACTTGGGGGTATATACGGGGATGTAAAGCTCCTGTGATTCCAACATGACAACATTGTGGTAGGCAACGCTGATTCCACCAGCCGTGTTGTCAAAAGATTGGGCGAGGGCAGTTTCCGAAGTGGCCGCAACCTAGACCCCAATATTATAGGGGCTCCAGCTCCCGAAAAGGGGCCTTCACTTTTTCAAACCCATTAGAAGCCCTTTCTCTCCCTTGATACCCTTAGAAGAGCCTAGAAGCCCGCAACCCTAAACCTCTTTCAGGGGACCCCTGTTCGGTAGTTTCCCACAAATAGGGGACCCCAATATAGACCCCAAAAAACAACAGTCCTCGAATAGAGTTCCCGTAATTTCTGGAAACCTTTATTTTTGCAGAAAATAAACTTCAAACTCGGTTTCGGCTGGCAAGGGCAGGTCCGATAGATCTGGCAAGAAGGCGTTCAGATGCTGGTAAGTTCTAGCACTGGGATTTAGGATAGGCTTTCCTACACCCCCAAAAGCATATAGAATCAAGACCATTTTGACTGTTTGAGTTGGTATTGGGCCAAAGTTAACCTATTTGGGGGGCTTAAGTTAGAGTATTAGGGTTACGGGGGATAACGCAGACAAGGATGTTTGAGAAACAGTGGATATGGAACTCACATGAAAGAGCCCTCTGAATCATGCCGTGAAGCCATAACGGCTTGCATGGTAATACGGTAATGCATGGCGAGTATCGCGCACAACCTTTGTCTCTACAGCGCAGGCTGTCATGGAGTTCGGATTCCTTAGCCGGCTGTCACATATCTCGACTAACGGCTACTCTGTTGAACCAGCAGCTGTGAGCGTGAAAGACTTGGATTCCTGGGCAACATTTCATTCTGATCATCTTCCTGTCCAGATGACCATGGTTTATGAGAACACGCTCCATCGGTATGTTGATCACATCTTGCTCAATGGGCAAGTCGTTCGCACCGAGAAGGATGGCTACGGCAATGTCACATGGAGTCACGCGCCCAATCCGACGCGGAACTCCACCTCCACATTGCTCAGGGCCATGTATTATGGCCCGGTCTCTGGACCTATGCTCGGCCGTTTGAAGGAGGACAGCTGCACGAGGCATGGTGCATATAATGTATTCACTGACAACTGCGGTGACTATGCTGACAGCCAGTGGGAGTGCTGGGACGGGGAGGATGTTACCAATGTAGCAAAGCTTGCACGCTGCCTTCCCCATACACGCCTTCTCATGGAGTTCTGCAAGTTCTGGTATCGTGAGCTGGGACAAGAAGAAGTGTACAGACGTTTCAACCTTCTGAAGGCCGTCGCCTTTCCAGATTCTACCAGGTAAATAAAACGAGCGGTATATTTTTAGGGTTCATATCAGCTATAGTCTAAACTCCTTGAAGGGGTTATATAGGGGATTATAGATGGGACTACTATAGGGGTTGTTAAGGAGGATACTAGGAGTTTAGACTATAGCTCATATCAAGCCCTAAACCCCTAAACCCTAAATAGTAGTTTCCGTTTTCTGTTCCAGTATCCGTTCCAGTATCCCCATATATCCCCCTACATCCCCCTATAACCCTATGAAGATGGAACCTAAAACCCTAAATAACCCATTTTAGTGGTTTCCATTATTCCCCTTGACCCCAATGTAACGGGTTCATATGGTTCGGGGTTTAAATATAACCCCCATAGAACCCTAATATACCCCCACTATACCTTAATTTGTTATCGATTATAGTAGTTTCCATTTTCTTTTCCATCATACCTAGATATATATCTATCTATCTATCTATCTATCTATCTATCTATCCCCTTATAACCCTATGAAGATTGAACCCTTGTAGTTTTTTGGGGTTTGCATGGTTCGGGGTTTAGGGTTTAGGCGGGTTTAGGGTTTTTCAAAGTGTGCCGGGAAGCCAAAGAAGCTTCTTCACTCCATCATTCTTGTCGCCGAGCGCGGAAAAGCCACCGTTGTCAAGCAATTTCAAGGGGTTAGGGTTTAGGGTTTAGCGTGTTTACGGTTTAGGGTTTAGGGTGTTTAGGATTTAGTGTGTTTAGGATTTAGGGTTTAGGGTTTTGGGTGTTTAGATTTTAGGGTTTAGGGTTTAGGGGTCCTGGGTGTTGAGCAACATGCTAGTCCCAGTTCATCAAACCGAATCGAACCCATGTTGCCAATGGCATGACCCCTGTAAGGCAGGTGATGTTTTTGCATAACTTCCGTTTCATAGCTATACGGGACCCCATGTAGTTCCGTTTGAGGTTTGCAACGGCTTTGAGTAGAGAAACCAGATATCTAAAATATTGGCAGGGAGGGTGCCAGGGTCAAAAGACATTTTTAACCTTCAAACCAACATAACCCTTCATCGAAAATTTATTTGAGGGTTTTCTGAAGGGAGCCCCCTAAACCAGAATTCATGCTTGTTACCCAAATATGCGCTACATAGGAGCATCCGAGCAGGCCAGTAAGCCGCATGTCCCTGAGTTTAGGTGGGCATACGCACCCTGGCGTGGCCAAGTGGAAAGCGGTCCTTGACGCGTGCCCTGCCTTGTGAAAGAGGGTCAGGGGCCCTCGAGGGAAAACCATGTGGGATTTGGGGTTGGTTTTGTTTTTGCGGGGGGGCGAGGCCGGTGCGATTCCCAAGGGAGAAACAGATGGCTTGGATTCCGAACCCTCTTACACAGGAAGAATCTCTAACAGGCTTCACGGTTCAGGGCTGATGTGTCTTGAATCTAACTCAAACGCCTCACCCTAACAAGGCTAGGGCGTAGGGAGTACACCATCAGGTGAGAAGAGTCTCGGTTCGCGTGAGGAGATTGTTCGTTTTAGTGGCCACCCACCGCAAGCTGAGGATGATATACTGTTTGGGTGCAAGGTGCATAAGAAGCTCGCCTCATTATTCAACTGTACCTGAACAGAAAGGACTGTTGTGGCGTG